TTCCTTCTTTCTTTCCTTCCTTTCTCTCCTATTCCTTCTTTCCTTCCTTCCTCTCTATTCCTTCCTTCTTTCTTTCCTTCCTCTCTCCTATTCCTTTCTTTCCTCTCTATTCCTTTCCTTCCTTCCTTCTATTCCTTCTTTCCTTCCTTCCCTCTCTATTCCTTTCCTCCCTCCCTCCTATTCCTTCTTTCCTTCCTTCCTCTCTATTTCTTCCTTCCTCTCCTAATTCCTTCCTTCTCTCCTCCTTCACCTTTCCTTTCTCCCTCCCTCCCCTATATCCATCCATCCATCCATCCACCCATCCTTCCTTCCTTCCTATTCCTTCTCCCTCCCCGCACCTCTCCTATTCCCCCCTCCCCGCATCCCTTGCTGGGTTCCTCCCGGGTGCCCTCGGGATCGGGGGACCCCAGCGCCTCCCATTGCAGCAGGTGAGCACGTGCCCCTCTGCGGAGGCCGGGCTGGGGGAGAAGGGGCAAGGCGGGAGCAGCAAGCACGAGCCAGGGACCCCTATCCCCCTCGGAGGCCGATGGAGAGGTACCTGCTGCTGCTGCTGCTGCTGCAACCGAGGTGCCTCCTCCTCCTCCTCCTCCTCGCCGGGCTCCGCTCTGCTGCAAGAGGCAAGCGGGGAGGCGAGGGAAGCGAGCGCGAGCGCGCATGCGCGTTCTCTCTCTCTCCCTCTCTCTCGAGCCTCCTCCGAAGGCGCGCGCCCGGGCCCCCTCCCCTCCGGGGGCGGGCCCGCTCCCTCCCTCCGCCTCCTCTTCTTCCCCGTCATGGGCCTCGCTCTCCCTCCTTCCTCCCTCTTCCTCCTGCGGTCGCCTTGGAAACCGACTAGGCAGAGGCGCGCGCGGGCGCGAGTCCGGCCAGCCCTTGGGCGCGAGACCGCCGCCTCCCCACCTTCCCTCCCTCGTCACGTGACGCGCTCGGGGCGCCGGCCAATCGAGGCGGACGGATGAGTACGGCGGCGGCGGGGGGGGGGGGGGGGGAGGGGGGGGGGGGTGGGGGGAAAGGGTAGGGGGGGGGGGGGGGAGGGAAGGGGGAGGAGTCCCGAAAGGGGGGGGGGCTTCCTGAGGGGGGGGGGAAGGGGAGAAAGGAGTGAGGGGGATGTTGTGAGGGAATAATAGGATTCTTTGTAATTGTGATCGTCTCACTGATATGTATTAATAAAATATGTATTAAAACTATTTGTATTTAATGTTAGTATTTATCCATCTTATACAGTGCTGCAATAATAAAAGTTCCTTGTTCTTTTACTTTGTGATATAAAACACAGAAAACATTTTATACATAATATATAAAATACATTTATCTTTCAGGGGTTACCTTACCCTAGTAGTATATAAAAGGCTATAATATCTACACTCTCTATAAAATGCACAACAATGTTATCTGAAGTTATATTTGGCATAGATGATGTAAATAATCTATAAAACAAAGGTAGAATTTTGTGTATTATATATTTTATGTATCAAATTTTTAAAACCGCCCATGTCCCTCTGAGAGGGAACCCTCTGCACAGAGACCAATGATCTTTTTGTGGTTGACAATAAATACATAAAAAAATAACAATAATAGCAGGAGGAAGGAATTCCTTCACATTGACATTAGGAGGAAGGAATATTAGGTTTGCAACCTTGAGGTATTTAAACAAAACAAGAAAGGCATGAGATATAAAATAAAAAGAGAAGCTACCTAATAAAACCCCTGTGTGGGATCCACAGAGATATAAATAAATAAATAGAAAAGCTACCTAATAAAACCTAGAATCACCAAGAATTGGGCAAGGTTGAATGGATAGCATCATGATCGTCAATGAAACCCAATAAAATGCAAAATAAAAGCCTCACAGAAGCCCTAATCTAAACTGATAATACTAATTAAATTACGATAACAAAGGGATTAAAATAGGGTAACAAAAAAAGCTTGGGAAAATGAAAAAGTAAAAAAAAAACCCACCCAGAAATAGGATTAATTGTAATCGCTAGATTTTGTTATTAGGACAACTAATTGCCTCTCAAGATAAAAGGCCAAAATGGGTTCCATAGCCATGATAGAATATTTCAGATTATATTCTGAGGTATAAATAGTTCTACAGTCCACCTGGTGGAATGTTTAGTTTAATTGCGGAATTTCAGGATGGATGGTAGCCACGCAACAAACCTTGTTTTGGTGTCCATGAAGTTTTAGGTCTTCTTCTTGTAAAATTTTATGTTTTCCATAAATGCAAATGCCTATCTCCAACCGTCGTCTGTCCCAATTAATTCTTTACCTGAGGCAGGAAAATGAATAAAATGCTATAAAAAGAATAGTGGGTTAGTCATGTTTTAGATATGTGGATGGTGCAATGTTTAAGCAAACATAGAAAATCCTGGCCAAATACACTTTACAGTGAAAAGAACAAAGGGCTGGTGTACTAAAAATGGGTTTTAAAAAAAAATTAACTGGAATTTGCTATGCAAATGAGAATTATTAAAATTGCTACATTCATGTCAGTATTCAGGATCTGTATGAATATTGGGGCTATAGTATCAAGTAAAACAATAACAACAAATTGACTTATTTGTTGCGATTTATTTTTTTGCTTCGCTACATATAGCAAAACTGTTTTATTTATTTATAAATAAGGAAACTTGTACTGGAATATTAGAAACTATGTTGAATAGTAGCCATAAAATTATGGGCAATGCAATATTAGCTTTTTAGAAAGCAAACCACAGAGGCCTGTCTCTCTGGGAAAGAATTTGTGAAATGAGAAACCACAACTGAGATGGTCATTTCTTGTGATCTGTAACAGCATCATATGAAACTTAAATCGCAAGGCAGGTTGAAGCAAAAAGAAGTCTTTTATACCAAGTGTAAGAACTGAGTTTATAACCCTTGTATAATTTATAAGAATATCTCTGGGGAATCTTCCAAGCCAAGATATGCATTTATTTATGCCTTTATTAATTTCTAATATGATGCATTCATTTTGGCAGGCCTGTCATCCACAATACTCTCTCTTACGTTCAAGTTTGACATTTCTAAAAAAACAAAACAAAAAAAACCTGAATAAAATAAGAATGGGTGAAATTAGCTGCAGTGCTAATTCATCAGGCTTACTTTGGAATAAACGAGATTCAAAAAGTTTTTAAAAACCAGAATCTTAACAGCATTCTCTCTTGAATGGTAATGGGTTTTCCTTAGTTTAAATGATGATATTACATCTAAAGACATGTATACAAACTACTTTATGCCATCAAAGACTTCCTGGTTAGTGTTCCTATGATTTTATATATCTGTGGACAGATTTACAGTTTTGAAAATAGTATGACAGCTGTTCTCAACTGCAATTCACGCATCTTCGGTGCATCTGGTTTTCTGGACCATATTTAGTTTGTTATCTGCGCATTGACAAAATGTTCATTTGTCAGTTACAAAAGGCCACACTGCTGGATTTGCACCTATACAGGTAGTCCTCAACTTACACAACAGATCATTTAATGACCGTTCAAACTTACAACGGCACTGAAAAAAGTGACTAACGGACATTTTTCACACTTTTGACCATTGAGGCATCCCCATGGTGATTTACATTCGAATGCTTGACAACTGGTTCACATTTATGAAGGTTGCAGTGTCCTGGCATCATTTGATCCTCTTTTGTGACCTTCTGACAAGCAAAGTCAATGGGGAAGCCAGATTCACTTAACAACCGGATTGCTAATTTAACAACTGCAGTGATTCACTTAACAAACGGGACAAGAAAAGTCATAAAATGGGACAAAACTCACTTAAACAAATTTCTCACTTAGCAACACAAAATTTTGGGCTCAATTGTAGTCATAAGTCAAATGTACAATACAAATGTATTGTATTACGACAATACATTTATGACATCCTAGGTTCTTGGGAAGAATTTGATGTGTATGAAAGCCAATGCCAGCTGAAGAACTGGCAGCTGCAATTTCACATTGTTGTGTACATTATAATAATAATAATTCTCCTTGTATACGACATGTGCTATTGCTAACATGATGAATATTTCATATCCAAAATTAGAGTTATGTTTTTTCTACTCGATATTATTTTGATTATGCTAAAGCACAACTAACTGTGCAGTTTAATGCTTCATGGCAGACAAAACTCCATCTGCATGTATTTCTGTCTCATTTAGCTTGCCAGCAGTCATCAAATCTACATATTTGAATTATGACTTTACAGGCTTATTTGAAAATATGTCTTGCACTCTGGTAGCACAGACTGTAACGATGTACTGTACTTTATGCACACTAGTTTGAAATCAAATCCTTAATCTGGTTCAGTGGAACTAAATCCTTAATCAAAAAAAGGAGACATAATTTGGAACCCAAAAGACTATTCCTGAAGTCATATTCACACTTATTGAAGCTGTTTATATATTGGCTTCAACGTTGGAAAGCAGATTAACCCCTTTTAAAATAAATAGTAAAAATCACCCCCTCTTCAAAAAAAAGGGACTATTTTAAGAGAGGCACTATTTTAAAGCAGGGATGAGTCACTTATATTTCCACCTGCATACCTTTTTTGAAGCAAAACCTTAAAGTAGGCAGGTAAATTAGAGAAGAAAGTGACAATAGGAATATAGTACCTTGAAATTCAGAGGAAGTGTATTCCTCATTTTCATTTGTTGGGCAACCATTAGCAGCAAAGAGTAGTTGTTATGTTGTTCTCTGCTGTTTCTTGACCTAAGTGCAAAATAAGAGGAGGGAGCAGCTACATTTTTGGTTTACTTTTAAGTTCTCAAAAATGTGACCATTCAAGATGATTTTTTTTTAAAAAAAATATATGTTTAAGTACATGATCAAAAATGAATTTCCAATAGATCCCTTCTGCCTTGGACATTGAGCTGTAAAACAATTAACAATTGAAACAGTTTGTGCCAAAATTTGCCAAAAGATGGGAAATCTAAGATTGAATTCCAATTTATATATGGCAATGTTTCGCCTTTTTAAAGTCTTAATAAATTTCCTTCTTTCCTTTAGGCAGGAAGATCACGGGCATCAACTTTGCACGGAGAACAATTTCTGTCATCCTAACAAAAAGATGAATAATTGCAGGTAAGTTGTCATCTCCCATCTCTCTATTAAACATCTATTTGGTCCACCGTGGGCCACTTGCTGAGCCATGAAACCAAAAAGATTTCTCCTACTGCAAAATCAGTGAAGTTACCACAGACTCCAAAACTGGGACTGACCTCCTAGATTCAAAGTTACGACCACTTGTGACCACATTTTGCGCACTCAGCAACCGGCCCACGTTCATAGCTGTTTGCAGCACCCCGCAGTCACGAGACCATGATTGACACTGTTTTTACCATAAACCAGCATTTAGGTCCAAATTTCCAGCAAAAACGGCCCTATAGCAAACAACAGGTTTGCTTAATGACCCTGGTGGTCGTTTAAAGACTGCTGCTCTCTCTGTATGAATGCTGAAAAAAAAAAAAGGTCTTAAAATTGCATCAGGTCACATGGTGATGCTTTACGACTGTCCTGCTTTATGGCCAAGACCGTGGGCTCAATTGTGGCTACTAATGCCACTCTATAAAGCCTTAGAATCCTGCATCCAGTTTTGGTCACCACACCATAAAAAAGATGTTGAGACTCTAGAAAAAGTGCAGAGAAGAGCAACCAGGATGATGAGGAGACTGGAGGCTAAAACATACGATGGACGGTTGCAGGAACTGGGCCTGGCTAGTCTAGTGAAGAGAAGGACCAGGGGAGACAGGATAGCAGTCTTCCAATATTGGAGGGGCTGTCACAGAGAGGAGGAGGGGGTCAAGCTATTTTCTAAAGCACCCGAAGGCCAGACAAGGAATAACGGATAGAAACTGGACAAGGAGAGATTCAACCTGGAAATAAGGAGAAACTTGGCACTCAACCCATGGAACAGAAGTTGCCTTCAAAAGTTGTGGGAGTTTCATCCCTGGAGGCTTTCAAGAAGACTGGACTGCCATCTGTCAGAAATGGAATAGGGTCTACCTCTTGGGTGGGGGGTTGGACTAAATGACCTACAAGGTCCCTTCCAACTTTGATTATCTGTTAGGGTTGTAAGTTGTCTTCAACTTAGAACCATTCATTTAGTGATTGTTTGAAGTTACAACGGCACTGAAAAAAAGCGACAGGACCGTTTTTTTCACACTTAACCACCGTTGCAGCATCCCCATGGTCACGCGATCAAAATTCGGACGCTTGGCAACTGACATGTACTTACGACGGTCGTAGCGTGATCCCCTTTTGCGACCTTCTGACAAGCAGAATCAACGGGGAAGCCGGATTCGCTTAGTGTCACTAATTGAACGGCAAGAAATGTCGTAAAATGGGGCAAAACTCACTTAATCGAATGTTTCAGTTAGCAACATATATGTTGGGCTCGGCTGTGGGCCGTAAGTCGAGGACTCCGTGCACTGTGGGAATATCTTAGCGTATGGCGGGGCAGTAAGCTTCCTGCTTTTGTCGCAAGCTGCACCAGCTTGGAAGGGAAATTCTTGGCTTCCCAGAGTCTCTCTTTTCTGTTTCCAGATCATTACTATTGTGCCGAGTCAGGAATATTGAGCATTTGCTGCACAAGCATACTTTCAGTGGCACGTTGCAGCGGGAATCACATTATTATGTGCTCCCAACAGATTATGTGCTAAAGGACCATAAAAAACAACAACAGCTATAGGAAATAGAGATATTTGCTTTGACACCACTTCAGCGTAGAAAGAGGAACATCACAGGGCTGTCTTTTAAAAGTTTGATAGATGTACCCAACTTCAGGGAAATGGTGCAACTTTTGTTCAGGCAGGCTTTGTCCGATTCATTTGAGATCAATGTGGAATCCAAGGAGCACATAGTTTTTAAATTATTTGATCCCACCGGATAAAGAGCGTCCACGAAAAAGACCTAAAACAAGATGGATTGGCAACATCAGCAAATATGGTGGGACCAACTGGCAAAAGAAAACTCAGGACTGTATGGGTTGGAAACATGCGGATGAAGCCCTCACCCTTCAGTGGGTAGAAAATGGCTAAAGTGATGGTGATGAAGGAGGAGGAAGAAGAAGAAGAGAAAGAAAGAATGAAAGAAAGAAAGAAAAAAAAGAAAGAAAGAAGAGGAGGAGGAGGAGGAGGAAGAGGAAGAAGAAGAAAGAAGAGGAAGAAGAGGAAGAGGGAAAAAAGGAGGAGGAGGAGGAGGAGGAGGAGGAGGAGGAGGAGG